TCAAACAATTAATTATGCGAAGCACTTTGAATAATAATTTCTGATAGTCTGATAGTCATATTTTTAAAAGTGTCTTTTAAAAAAATACATTTAGAGTTCATTTTGTTTCATGCTTTTTAAAGAGATATATCCGTATTAGTGTTTTATTTTAAAAGAAATAAATATAGGTAGTGTCTCATCAAGTTGTATAAGTTATATACTTTCTGCAAATAAGACTATTCCACTCCAATAATTTTAAAAGTTATGAAATATTATCAAGTTTTTTCTCTCCGAGACGGATAATAAACCGCCTTTTATTGAAATATTCATGATCAAGTGGTTTCGCATGCTCACAGCAAACAATGGTCCAATCTCGTGAATGAACCGAAAAGCATAATGGTCTACTACGTTTTTATACGCCCGTCTGAAGACGGGACGTATTATGTTATAGGCTTCGTGTCCGTCCGTCTGTCCGTCTGTCTGTCTGTTAGCTTTTCGTTTCCGGCTCGATAACTTTAATACTATTAGGCCTAGGATAATCAAACTTTGTCATCTGATGCATCTTGAGTAGAAGGTGTGTCACGCACAAAAAGTAGGTCGCTATGACCTTTAATTAAGAAGATATAGCCATGTATTGAAAAAAAACCTTTCCGGCCCATAACTAGAAAACTATAAGACTTACAATCATCAAACTTGGCCAGTTTATGCATCTTAGGTAGAAGGTGTGTCGCGACCTATTTCAAGGTCACTGTGACCTTTGATTTAAATGAAATTTTAAAAAAAATGTGTCTTTTTATTATTCATTTACACATCCCAAATAATGTAAAGAGTATTGCACTGTCCTTATTAAAAAAAGTGTTAAATCAAGAAAATACTTATTTTTTTTCAAAACATAAACTTGACAGCAATCTATTAACAAATATAATGCATGTTAGAGAAATCCTACCTCTCCCATGAGTGTAATTATCAAGCACTGGTCAAGACTCAAGAAGAATTTTGATAACAGAAAATTGCATGTCAAATTAGAGAAAAATTAATGGGTTTTGAGTGTGGGGAGCTCGCTAATAGCTAGAGCATGGTGTTATCTATTCCCTTGAGTATTGGGCAAATGTGTGAGCCTGTTGGATTAAAAATAGCTCTTGCTGGCGAGCCTAAGTTTCGAAATGAATTGAATGAAAAGTAATTAAAACTAATTTATATTGCATAGCAGACTAATCTTATATTACATAAATTTGTTAATTTATAAAAACTAATTTTATGGGATTGGGTTGGAATAAGCATGTCCATATGAATTTTATATTAAAACCTGTCGGACATTAAATGTCAACCAAAAAAATCTTTTGAGGATTTCATATGTTTTAAAAAAGTTATGGTAGATAGTGCATACCCATTCATCTATTGGTATTAATGAGTAGACAAGCATCCAGTTAAAGATTAATTAATGAGTTCAGGCAAGCTTTTAATCAAGATCAAGCTGTATGATGACCTTTGGGAATTAGACAGAAGAACTGTTGGTTAGTTTATAGCATATGTCATTTGATGGCCAGCCTTTTCTTTTCAAAATTAATTTGGTATAGATTAATCGAAGACTAACTTATATTGTTTAAAGCCATATATGGCGTAACTGATCAAAAAAATATATTTTTGAAAAATACAAAATTAAGTAAAGAAATATAGTTGAAACATTTAAATTGAAGCTTTTCATACAATTCTGAACACGGAGAACACCTCGTTTCACCTAATAATACGATTTTATCTTCTCTGTAATGTATTATTTAAATGTTTTGTATTTTCTTCCGAGTCGGAGAAAATTCTGAGAATCCAAATTAAATTGTGATATCTTTTTAACGCAATTGATTTAGATTTTGTAATTTACGGAAAAGTTCTATCTTTATATAAAGTAATGATACAAATAATAATTTCTTATAATTTTAGTCCAATAATTTTCATTGTACATACGCCATATATGGCTTTAATATGATGGGCATTTGACAAGGTCTAACACAACCAGCATAGAAATCCATCAATGATGTAATATTTAATATAATTAATGCCTACATCACAGGGGATGGATAAATATTTTTAGGAATGGAAAAATCATGGAAATTTAGAATCAGGGTTGACGTGATTGCAAGCTAAACTGTTGAAGAAAATTGTAATTTTTGACGGGCGTATCATGCTGTGGCGCGGCACTTTATTACTACAAACACGTGAGTTAGGGATTGTCAATATGTGAGCACACCTCAGAGTTGGTTGCTTTCCGTACCGAGGAATAATCACATGCAATTGTCTTTTCACTAGCAGTACAGCACGGTGAAACTCGAAACAAACGGACCTGTACAATGGAGTGGGGAAAACTTTAATCTTTATCATTGTTAATCATTTTGTAGGCAAATATGAGCATGGGATTAGTAGATAAGAAATGTAAATAATGCATTAAGAGTGTAAATGCTTGGGAAAATGCATCAAGTCTTTCCGAGAGCGATTTAAAAATAACTAGCCTTTTCGAAAAACACATGTAGTATTTTATGTAGTAACCCATAAATGCATTAAATGCAACTCATTGAGCTGATTGGTTTATTTGTCAGTCATATTGGTTCCTCACTGAACAGACGTCACAAAAATATTTTCCTCGACCTGATGATTCTCGCGATGCTTTTCCTGCGCACATGCGCAGATCCAGAATAAACAGTCACTCCTTTATAAATTTGCATGAGAATATCTCTTTTTTCCCGACCAGTACTTTTTTAATACCGAATAATATTTCGTCGAATTTGCAAGAATGCCTCATTTTTGATAGCTTATCATAATTCAGAAATTTTTGTTCGATTTCAGCTGTGCAAAAATACTGCTTAACACGGCACACATATCTTTAAAATTGTTTAAAAATATTGGAGGGAAAACGTCGAAGATGGATTTAAAAAAAAAATTCAGTGCAAAAAACACGAAAAAGTCATATTTAATATACTTATCACCAAATGAGGTATATCGACCCCCAGTTGATCTGAATTTTAATTAAGCTAAGTATGTAGAAACTAAAAAAATATAATAGGTAAAAAAAGTTTAAGACAGTCACTTCAAATATCAGGATCGAACGTCGTTAAATGGAAGTATGATTGTATTCGATTCAATAACTGTCAAAGAAAGTGGGCGCTTTAGATGGCGATTCGACAGGAATAGTGGCTCATAAAAAAGAATAAAAATATATCATTGATTTATACATTTTTGTAAAAAACCTAGGCATTGACTGTGTCGTAGGTGAATGTAAAATGGGAAAATATTCAGTTGAATATGTTTGATTTTATTTTAATATGGACCTGAATATAGACGTACAAATCAAATGATGCAAAAATCGACAATTTTATAGCCGTTTTTCATTAATTTCATTGTTTCTGGGTCTTCTCTCCATAAATTTTAAATGCGTTATCAGTGTATTTTTAAACGTAAAATTTATTCTAGTTGTTAAATAAATGGAGAGGCGACCCAGAAATACCAAAATATAAACTTTTCCCATTCATTTTCTGACAGAAAATTGACAAAGTCCAATTGTATAGGGCTTTGGCTTTAAATGGGGATTTAAATACATAATATGTATAGTGGCCCTGTAGTACATTGGTTTGTCGCTGGATTTTATCCACGTCGTAGTTGCATTTTAGGTTCGAATACAGTGATTTTATTTTAATTATTTTTTTTCTTTTTGCTTGAAAATTTAGATTTAATAGAAAACATTACTACTTGAATATTAAAAGTGGCAAAGTATGTTTTATAAATTATTTTACATTGTTTTATTTTTCAGTGCGTTCACATTTTGTCATTTATAGTGCTAACGTTCCAAAAAAGAAATGAACATACAAGAATTTGTACATACAAGGTAACTGGTGATGAAAAAAATTATTTAAATATATCTAAAAGAAAAAAATAATAACTTCGATCGTTCTGTTACATTCAATATTTTCTGTGCATTTGAAAAATGAGCACAACAATTACATAGTGTTAGACTTCTATTATTTATATTTTATTAAATGTATCTAGCATAGATAATTTATCTTTCATGACACCTTTAATTGAAAAATAAGTATTCACAAATAAACAAACATAAGATAGAAATTCATTTCCATGAAGTATCTAGGTTCATTGTATGACATGTAAATGACATGGTGTTTGGACATTTAAATTTCAATTGTTTCGTGTCATTGATTCCTGCCTATCTTGTGCGCCCACTTTTTTTAGTGTACATAAAATCTAAAATATAAATTCAAGTCATTACGTCACGCTAACTTAAATAGTAAATCTTAAAATTAACTTCCACATACCAATTTGTAAGTATTTTATTCTAGTAGTTCTTCAAAGAAAAGAAAACCAAACCAAAAACATTATTAATATCCCTGAAATTTTCTTTCCACTCCCTAACGTTCTCCTAGGATTCCTATGATGTCGTTGTCCATCCACTCTCAGAGTTCCCTGACTATCCTGTCCACTCCCGTCTCTCTCTCTCTCTCTCGTCCCTTTCTACTCTAACTTCATCTTGTCGTCCTTTAACATTTATTTTGGCCAAGAAAAAGATTTAAAATATATTCTTTTTGCAAATTGGGAGTGACAATGCCATTGACTTGAAAATTCTCAAGTTTTGTAAAGTTCTAAAGTATTAATTGTTTAAGTTTTGAAGTTATTCGGAAAAATCTAACTGCAAACATTTGATTCCGAAAATAAACATAATAAAGTATATTACCAAATGTGAAATTAAGCCAGGCTGTACATGAATTTATTTCATAAACCTTTTATTATATTTTTTCGTTTTTTTTTCATTTCTTTATCGTACTACTTTGAAATATATTTTAACGTTATAGCTGATTATGTAAAAGAACTAAATTTAAATATTCGTGAGTAAATTAACAAATCTATGCATTGTACGTAATTTTCTTCATGCAGAAAATATCTTTTACAAACGGTGTTCCATAGTTAGGAGAATTTAAACAGAAAGGAAGTTGATAGCCTCAGTCGAACTTGAGAATTTCTTTTAAATGGCGAGCTCAAAGAAAGAAACCCCTGTCAATGAACAGGAGAATGATACATGCCACTGTCCAATATGTCTAGAGAAGGTAAGAAAACCGAAGTATTTGTCGTGTTACCACACCTTTTGTGAGGCGTGTATTGGGACTTACATTTCAAGTACGGCTACACATAAAGAAAATGAAACATTAAAGTCAATCGAATGTCCCGTGTGTCGTACGTGTATCAAGGCGCCGAGGAATGACATTTCAGACGAGGAGTGGGCATCAGAACTACCCCAGAATAAACTCGTACTAAGTGTGTCTGTAGATCCCGAGCAAGATTAAAATAAATATTGTATGTTTTGCAAACGACTGGAGAAAAGCGTTTCTGCAAAATACTGGTGCAAAGCATGTATGGAAGCTATTTGTGAAGATTGCAGATCATTGCATAGAGCTGTGCCAATTCTGCAGAGTCATAAAATTTTAGATATCTCCAGCATAAAGGAGATGAATAATGATGTTGAGATAGAAGAGTCTTGCAATTTGCATGAAGGGAAAATACTCGATGTGTTTTGCCACGATCATCAAGAGCTATGTTGTAGTGTTTGCCATGTCAAGCAGCATAAATTGTGCAAGCATGTGGACACAGTTGAAGATATTGCTTTTGAGAGAAGACAGAAATGCGATGAAAAACATTGCTTTAAAATATGCTGATCTGGAGAAGGTTCTCGAATATATGCTGTCAGAAAACCTAAATAAAACAGAAAAACTCAATACCCGAAAGCACGAAATTTGTATGAACACGGAAGAAAAAGTTGAAGAAATCAAATCTCTAATGGAGAATGCACATGCAAAGTGGCTTAAACGATTTGAACAGAATCATGCTGATTCCATTGGAAACATTGAAATTGCATCTGATGAGTTGAAACGTTTTTCCACTACAGTTCATGAAGTTAGGATGATTCTTAACTCAGTGTTAAAATGTGGGTCTTCAAAACAATTAGTCATAACAAATCATAAACTGAAAAAGCAGATTTCTGATCACATCAATCGTTTAAGGTCTTTGGATGTTTGGAATTTTTCTGAAGATTACAAGCAGCACAACTTGGATTTTTTTGGTCAGATTTCCAAGACAAACGAGTTTGAAGACGTAAAACTGACTAAACAACAATCATGGATAGTGGAGAGAATTATGTGTAGTACTCCAGAAAAAATTGATGAAGACAATATTATACAGAGGAGAAAAACTATGGCTAGAAAAGACTGGATGAACGTTGGCTTTAGAAAATTATCACAAATCAACGATTTGCCAGAAAGAGTATTTTATGGCTTGTTTATACATGACACAAGAATACTGTTATCTTTGACTAGCCCACCTTCGCTGAAGATTTATGATATCAGTAATTCCACTGGAAAATGCATACACACTGAGGTGTGTCAGGATAAACCATATGGTCTTTGTCGCTCCGGATTGTGCTTGAATGAATTATTTGTTTCTTTTGAAAACTTCATCTGTCATTATCGAATTGAGTTCAACGGAGAAAATGCGATTTTTTTAAAACTTGGAATAATTCAGTTGAAAGAACCCATGATAGCTATATCCCGTGGACCAACAACAGCGTTTGCTGCTAATCGTTCTAAGACGATGATCTGTTCATTGAAGTTTTGCATCAATCATACTTCTACATATTATCCTAATGAAGCAGTGCCCTTTGTGTCCTCATCGTTGATATCAGACTGTCATTGTTTCATAATGGATGATATGTTAAAGGTTGTGGATAAGAATAACAAAGTGATTTTTGAAGGCCCTCGAGATTCAAATCTCAGGGGACTCACCTTTGACCTTCAAGGTAATATTCTAGTTTGCGATATGACATCAAAATTAAGACAGTTTAAGCATGGAGAAGGGGAGAGTAGGGATATTAGCTTGGCAGACATTACCCAAAGTTCCAATGTAATAATGCATCCGACAGGAGAAAAGATAATAGTATTAGACAATTGCCAGAAAGGCGTTGTTTACCAAGTATACTAAAACATTGATTTGTCGCAATGCTCAAAATTGTGAAAAAGGAACGGGAGGCTAAATAGCTCACAAAAACTCTTTTCGCAGGTGTTATGCTGCAATATATTTGATATTTCAATGAATAATAAACATATATATGGTACTGAAATACACACTGTGTTATATTATTTTAGGTATACTCGTTTATCAGTCATTCTACAAAAAAACAGGACCGATTAAGATTTTTCTATATGTCGCTTACAAATATACCGTTCTAATATCTTGAATATAAATTTTATGATCGATTTCAATCGAATGTACCGTTCACGGTAATTCAGTCGCTAGAGCGCTCGCTCCGTGATCGGGAGGTCGCGAGTTCGTATCTCGGCCGCGACTGACCTAGTCGTTAAAATTGGTAGCAACTGTTCATTCGCTATGCGCTCGGCACTTGAAGTGAAAGTTGCGGGTCCTTCGGATGAGACCTTAAAAACCGAGGCCCCATGTCAGCGGCAGGCGTTAACACGATAAAGATCCCTCACTGCTCAATGGCCCTGAGTGCCGAGTAAAGGTCAAAATTTGAAGCCCTTCACCGGCACACGGTGACATCTCCATATGAGTGAAAAATTCTTGAGAGGGACGTTAAACAATATACAATCAATCAATCAATCGTACGTCTGAACATACACACATTGTGTGTGTGTGTGTGCAGTTAAAGTTTCGACAAGAAAATAATGTAATGTTGAAAAACGAATTCAAATGCAGATCTTCATGTTGCTTCATTAATTTACAACTTCAAGATGGGATTATCAGCCTAAAGAGTCCCAAACAGATAGCAATGAATGTGAAAAAAGTTTTTATCCTATATAAAATGAAATCATACCACTTCTCGCAAAAAAAATGCATGGATCTTTTTTCATGCGATTTCATTGCTTGTCGCTAAAATCGATAAACTTCCGTAACCATTTTTTTTAAATTTCACGAACAGAATGCAGATTTCAAAAAAGAACTGAAATTTATCTTAGAGTGACCACGGAACCTTATATCTTTGATTCAAGTAGCGAGTTAGCTATTATATACGATAATTACATTTTCGAAATAACAAAATAAATTACAGAAAAACTTGTCTCTCTTTAAATTTCAATTCCGTAACAGTATTTCAGAAAAGGACAAGATAGGGTAACAGCCAAATCTGGCCCCTTATTTGATATAAAAATCAGAACACTGTTAAAATAGTGATAGTTTGTAGTTAATAAATAAAAATGATGCTAACTTTAAGACAAGCACTTATTTTGATTGAAAGCTTACATAGGAGCCACTAGAGGGTGCTGAAATATGACATTTTCCCGAATTTCCTCAATTGTGGTGGAATTTCATCACATTTGGCATACATTTCTCTTCGGAAAACATAGAGCACAAGCTTGCCTACCTGAGATTTTTACACAAATGCTGCATCTGATATCAGTTTATAAAATATATTAATTTGATAGATAGGCAAGCGTGTGCTCTATGTTTTCCGAAAGAAAATGTGCTGTAAAATTAATAGAAATTTGCATAAAAATGAGAAATTTCGAAAATTGAGCTATTTCCTGACCTCACTGTGACCCCTGTATATTCTAAATCCTAAAACCAAGACTCATTTTGTGGCAGGGGTGAAAACAGGTTTCCATGGATAAACTGTTGGATCATTCTGAAACACACCCAAAATCGGGGGCCAAATACTCGTCTTACCCTATCTTGTCCTTTTTACATTCAATGTTTTCAATTATTTTATTGTTTAAGGAGCAAAATGCTTCATACTTTTGTTTAATTTCCAAAAACAAGCTTTGATTTCAACTATCGCCGATAATTTTTAACCTTTATTGGGCTTTGTGGAATTAACTTCCCCTAACGTTACTTTCCGTAAATATATTTTTACCGAAATTTTAATTTAATTTTAATTTAATTTCAGAGTCATGCGAAAATTCATGAATTGTATTTTGGCGTTCCATACTGAACATTAGAAACAATAAATGGTCAAATTCAGCGTTATTTAAAAAATAATGCGGCTTGATCAAGCAATCCGTAACCGTACCTTAAAATCAATGTTTTATTAAAATCGTTGTAAAATTTGAACGATGCCAGATTTGTTGACACTTCTTTTTGTTAAGTTCACTGACATGTTTTTTTTAAGAGAATAATGATGTTCTGACACTGTTTTTTGAGACAATTATTGTATTATTTTTCAAATTTTATATTTTGAATTGGTCCATTTATCGTAGAATGACTGATATGCAAAGGATACCCTATCAAATATAAACATTGTTTCAATATTAATTCAATTTGTGAATTCTTCATTTTTTTAAATCTTTAATAAAGTTTAACAATTGTGTATGAAAAATACCAAATAACAAATAAATATTCCCGGGGAATGAATGTGGCTTTCGAGAAAAATAACTAAATGAAAAATATTAAGAACTAAGTGAGAAAAATATAGAATTCAGAATCAAAATTTAGTTACGAAAATAGGGTGAAGCAACTCCTGATATTTACCTTGATGCAAGGTTTGGCTCAGTAGAAGCCCAGACCACGGCTGTGCTCGGGTTTAAATACTGTTCTTAACAATAGAATGAAAGTGAATGTTAGCCGTAATGTGATTTGATAATAAATTTAGAAGTAATCAGTGTAAAGTCTCGAAATAAAATACGTTTGGAAATAAAAGATAACTCTCTTCCGGTATCACGAATAAACAAATTGAATACGAAGATAAAGAAATTACGTAAAGAAGTAAGTTAACCTTAAGTTAAATAAATAATGTAATGGAAATAATTCATAAATGACCGAAACTACCACAATATAATTATAAATATAAAATAGCCACATAAACAATAATATAAAAGATATCTTTCCTTCAAAGAATAGCAAGCAAAATGATCAAATGAATAAGCGAGCATCCGAAGATAGTGCAGATTTTTATAATTTGTTTAAACTATGATCCCTAGGGTGGGATTAGAATAGAAATTTCAACCATGGTCGTGCTAAAACTGTCTTAAATTAAACATAAAATTGAAAACAACAAACTCAATTCAAGCTCAAATATTAAAAAAACTATAACAACTTAAAAGTTGCATAGACTCAGATTTGAAGTTAATATTTTCTTAAATGATATAACCCAATATATATTGCAAAAGCAATTCATCTCGAAGTTTTTGAAACATCTGAGACTATTGAATTTCTTATCGGATTAATGATTGACACGTCCTTGCAATATCTCAAATTACGAGGGCTGTTCAATAAATAATGTCCTCGGTGCTCAGAAAGAAGTAAAAGACGATTTTCAATTATTTATTCTTCATGATTTTATTATTTAATCTCTTTTAAGTAAAATACATGTCCGTAGCATTTTCTATCCAATTTCTGATCATTTGTAGAACTCATATTTAGGTATGTCCCTCAGTATACTGGGAAATGGCAGATTCAATGATTTCCCGGACTTGTTTCTTACTTCTAAAAGGTATTTTTTCCAAGTCTGGAAATTGAAACAAGTCAAGAGGTCAAAGATCTTGCAAAAATTGTTAATGTGAAAAAACATTAACTTTCTGTTTATTCCGAAAACCCCTTTACTCTTCAGGGCATGCGGGTTTGGACGCTGTCTTGAAGAAATTCAATGTAGTAAATTCCTGACTCTGGGTCCTTCCTCTAATAAACCTTTTGATTTTTTGGCCAAAAAAGTGCTTTCTAGACTCCTCCAGAAATTAAACTGTCTCTCCGAATACGATTGTGAACAACATTACCACTAATGTTTAAGAAAATTACATATAAATCTGTCTTTGTGCTCTTGCATACCTGTGCACTTTTCAGACATTCGCCGTTTTTATCAAGTACATCTTATGGTAAATTTTGTTTTTAGGGTTTTAAGCGATAGATTAATGTTCCAATATCTGTTTGAAAATAAAACAAACGTAGATAACTACAATTACTGATATTTTAAAAAAATTAAAAAGACTTTTGTACACGTTGTCATTTTCACTCATTTTTCAAAATATAGGGTGACCTTTGAGTATCAAGCTTTTTTACCGCCAAACGTTTCTTAAATACAGTGTAAAATACCCCCGATGTGATGTCTATCAAATTTGCTATGTGTCTTAAAGTCAATCATACAACATCAAATATTATTTGTTGAAATTTGTCGAACAGTACATGAGTTGTTATAATTTTTGTTGGCAAGGAGGGTACCCATTTTGGATGCCCATTATATAATTTTTTATCATTTAAATCCAACTGCTCTTTTGTCTATAAAACAGGCATTGGTTGCTCTAAATGTCACATATTTCGGTTAATATTTCTTTGGGATTTTTTACAAGTTTTACGGCAGCTTTAATGAAGCTTTTATTTTCACTCTTGTTTACTGATTCTTTACCATTCATTTATAATGCAGTGTCTCGAAAAGCCCTTGTTTCACAGCTTCTCATGATGAAACTATGTGATGAAAAGTGGTCACATTAACTGTTATAAATTCACGAAAGATGCAATAATGAGAGAAAGTCAAGTTTTATGTCATACGGTATCTGTAATGTATGTCATATAGTTCAGGACATTATTTATTGAACAGCCCTCGTATAATTTCATTCTTAATACTTAAGAAAAGTGGCATTATTGTATATTAATGAAAATATATTAAAACTATAGTCTAAAAATTCAGGGTAAAATGTTCGAAAGGTAAACGGTTTAGGCCTTTCAACTATTTTTAAAATTGCACATATGGTAAAAAACATTGTATAGATAGATTTATAAGTACATGAAATTATCAAAAAAGATGATAACTTATGCATACTTTGAATTACATCATTAAAAAGTTTAATCATTTATAAT